CTTTTTTAATATTTTATAATATTATTAAAATCTTATAATTTTAATCTCTATAATTTTATCTTACTTTTTATTTTATAAATATAATTTAGATTTTTCATTTTATAATTAAATTAATCTTTTTTAAATTTTATGAGTTTTTATATAGGAAAATATATTGAAACCCCTCAATCTTTGAGGGTACGTGCACCTTTTTCGTTTTTTTCTCAAATTTTTTACACCTTTACTTTTTCACTCTATAAATTAATTTTGGAAATATATAAAAAAAAATTTCAGAATAACTTTTCTTCTGGACTAAGCTAACTGCACCTCGCGAGCCACACACAGCTTTCAAAGTCGGCTGATGCACCATAATAAATAATAATAAAAAAATTAAAAAAAATTTAATAAAAAAACATTTACTAAACTAAATAATTTTGGACACGTCGGATATGAAGGAAGGAAGAAAACGTCAAAGGCAGTGATGATTTGTGAAAAACGTTACTCTGAGTGACGTTTTCACACTGTTCAGTGTGAGAAAGTAACTAAAAACATCAACTCTGTTGATGTTTTTTATATAAATTAAAAAATTCCAAAATTGAATGTAAAACGTCATTTTTCACAATCAGAACGGCCTGTTCTGAAACCAGAACAGGCCATTCTGATTCACTCTTTGTGTGTTGCATTTGCATCTGAAACAGGTTGTTTCAGTTACAAAATTAACACACAACTAATGGGACCAGAACGGAACGGCCCGTTCTGGTTCAGAACGGGTCGTTCCAGGTTATTTTGCATTAAAAAATTACAATTTTTTTAACATAAATTGTGCTTTTGATTTTCTTATGGTATTCAATTTATGATTTTTGTTTCTCAATTTTTAGTTATTCAATTTTAATCTCTCAGTTTTATAAAATTTATAATTTTAATTTTATTAATAAATATTATCTATTAACTATTAAAATTATAACATTGATTATGAATTTATATATTAAGTAGATGATTAGATAATTAATATTTAATGATATTTAGATTAAATTATACATTAAATTTTCATTTTTATCCTAATTCTATTATTATTTTTATAAGATAAAAATAAAAATTGAAAGTATATTTTAGTTTAATTATTATATCATTTAGATATTTTTAATGTTATAATTTCAAGAGATAATGAACAACCATTTAGTAGTGAGATAAAAATTGTAAAGTTTATAGAATTAGAGTAAATTTATAAAATTATAAGTCAGGGAAACAAAATTGCAGATTAAATATTATAGGGATAAAAAGTAAAATTTATCTTTTGTTTTAATATTTAATTTAAGAAAAAAGTTAAAAATGAAATAATAGTATAATATTTTTGATAATGTGACAATTAATTAGATGAATTTTTTTTTATAACGTGACATTTTTATGACAAAACACTAAACATGCCAATAGGCGGAACAAAGGTGAGTTTTACTTTTAGTTCTCATCTTTGTCCTCGTAAAAAGCCAACGAGTTCTGATTTGGATAAACTCATAGGGAAATCTTAGTACTTTTTTATAATTTTAATTTAGTTCAAAATTTTTAAATAAATTATATTTTAAGTTATTAATTATATATAATTCAAATAATATATAAAATTAATAAATAATGAATAATTTTAAATAAAAAATTTAAGAATTAAATTATATAATTATATTTTTCCATAGTCCTTCTTTCATGAACCTGGAACGGTCCGTTCTGAAACCAGAATGGACCGTTTTAATCCCACTAGTTATGTATTAATTTTGTAACTGAAATGGCCTGTTCCAGATGCAAATGTAACACACAAAGAGTGAATTAGAACGGGCCTGGTTGTGTTTCAAAGCTCAGGATCGACGTTTTACATCTAATTTTAAATATTTTTAATTTATATAGAAAGCGTCAACAGGGTTGACGTTTTTAATTACTTTCTCACGCTGAACAGTGTGAAAACGTCACTCAGAATAACGTTTTCCACAAATCGTCACTACCTTTAACGTTTTCTTCCTTCCTTCATATCCGACATGTCCAAAATTATTTTATTTAGTAAATAATTTTTTATTAATTTATTTTTGTAATTTTATTTATTTATTTATTATGGTGCATCAGCCTTCAAAGTCTCGCCACGCTTCGAAAGCGACTCAAACTCACAAACCAAACCACAATTTTTAGAAAAAAAATAAAGAAAGAAAGAAAACCCTAGTTGTTCCAATCCAACAACCACTCGGTTCCAAAAAGGAAAGGGTTTTTCCTCAACACTTTCCACCTTCACCACATAAAGCTCTTTTCCTCTTCAATTCACCCATCCATGTTCTTCTTCTTCTTCTTCTTCTCTGCGCGCCCCAACGCAAGCGTTTCCGATGTGATACCTCGAGCTTCCAGAGCACAGCCACTTGTTCCTGAAGAAGAAGCGCTGTGATCCGTTCGATTACGAGGGTTTGGGTTGGGATTGGGAATGGAAGCGCGCGTGGGGATGGTGGTGGAAGGGGGGCAGAGAACCCTCAACAACGACGCCGCCGCCGCCAAGTTCCTGGTGGCGCCGAATACCCAGAAGCTGGGAACGATGCATCAGCTTCTCGCCGGCGGCGTCGCCGGGGCGTTTAGCAAGACCTGCACTGCGCCCCTTGCGCGACTCACTATCCTCTTTCAGGTTTTGTAATTTTTTTATAATTGTTGAAATTTTTTATTATATTATTTTTGTTCTGAACTTGTTTGGAGTGTCGTTTACTGGTATGGTATTTCTGAGCTTTGGCTGAATTGGGGAAATGGGTTTTCGTTCCGTTGGGGGAAGGGTGGGTGGTGTTGCATTCTTGTTCGAGGTTGTTTTTGTGGAAATGCTTGTTTGTAGTATCATGAGAATTTTTTATTTAAATAGCGGCACATGTACTTGGACTGTACTTTTTAACTTCTAGAACTTTGTGAGATAATATTATGCACTTGTCAAAAGAATTTTACATTCACATACGATCACAAACGGTTATGTTGCGAGTCTGATTGTAATTGGACTCGGATCGCTTAGGTAAGGTCTTAAATTTGAGTCTTGTAGATGAAAAAAAAATGCAATTGGGACTGGATACCTCACTAAAGGTGGCTAGCTAGGTTCCCTCGTAGAGTAATTGGACACATATTGCTTTAGTAAAATCTCATATTCAAGTCTTGTAGATGAAAAAATTGGGATTGGGAGTGAATATCTCACTAGAGGTGGCTAGCCAGATTCCCAAGCAGAAATTAGTCATCGATAGAGTTGGTAGATAATTCGTATCAATAATTTGGTTATCCAAAGAATCACAAGCCTTCATGAATGATAAGTTTGTTGAACTTTTAAGGCCATATATATATATATATATATACATACATACATATATATGATTGGTTGGTTTATATGTCAATGATGATTATGATGATGCCACTGGTGATCATTAATGCATAATTCTATCATTTGTAAATTTTAGTTGATTGATTTTGTATGGATCCATCATTCCTTGAAATGCAGTTCGTTTAACTCATATTTTTACCTGACTAGTCTACATGTCTTGGCTTTAACAGGTGCAAGGTATGCATTCTGATGTGGCAGCATTGAGCAACCCTAGCATATGGCGAGAGGCATCACGTATTATCAATGAAGAAGGGTTTAGAGCATTTTGGAAAGGCAATATGGTGACCATTGCTCATCGTCTCCCATATTCTGCAGTCAACTTCTATGCCTATGAACGCTACAAGAATGTAATCTCTGGTGTTCTTTCTATACTGTAAGTGTTTCTGAAGTTATGGCAGCTATTATTATTTAACTTGAATTAATTTCATGTTCTCTCTATTGTGTTGTAGCTATTACATTCAGTGATGGGGGAGAATGTTAATGGAAATTCAAGTGCAAACCTCCTTGTGCACTTTGTGGGTGGTGGTTTGGCAGGTATAACAGCTGCTTCTGCCACATATCCTTTGGATCTTGTGAGAACACGACTTGCGGCACAGGTAACTAGAAATTTTTGTCAGTTGAGAATCATTGGAGACTCTTCTTAAGCCTTTAGTTGTATGCATGAGTGACTTAGCTATATTTTACAATGTGCTTATTGTTTGATTGAATTGAATATCATTCATCATAATTTTCGGTTTACTTTTACCATGTATTTTGAGACTTATATTTTGTTCCTTCGCAGAGAAGTATCATGTACTACAGGGGCATCTCTCATGCCTTCAGTACCATCTGTAGAGAAGAAGGTTTCTTGGGTCTGTATAAGGGGCTTGGAGCAACATTGTTGGTATGCTTACAATGTGTTTTCACTTCTTTATCTTGTTATGTTTGTATTATTGTCTAAACTAATCATTTCGTATGATGCAGGGTGTTGGACCCAGTATAGCTATTAGTTTTTCTGTTTATGAGTGGTTACGTTCTTTATGGCAGTCACAGAGGTGAGTTTCTATACTTGTGTCAAATTTAGGAATAGTTTATTCAGAAGGTTAATTATGCTCCCTAAATATGGTTTTGTAAATATTAATTTTCCATTTCTTTCAAATGTAGGCCTGATGATTCTACTGCTGTGGTTGGTCTTGCTTGTGGCAGTCTTTCTGGAATTGCATCCTCAACAGGTGGGTGCTTGTTGGTTATAGCTATATAGTATTTGAGTAATTGAGCTTAAACTATTCAAGTTTACATATAGAATTTTCCATGTCCAGTGGCCAGCTATGATGTTACATGTCCGGTTTATCTTTGAAACTCACTCAATTACTTTTGGCCAGGGTGGCAAATGGATGGATCGGACAATCTTTTAGGTGGATCATAATAGACTGGATAAAAATAACCCATTAATCCATTTATATCCATTAAAAATTCACAAAAATCCAATCCATCCAATCCATTTAAAGCAAAAAATCCATCTAATCCATTAATTAACAACTTTTTTATGGATGAATATCTGATTCATCCATAAAAGTAATGTTTAAAAATTAAATAATTTTTATTTTTGAAATATTTTATATCTCTCTTTTCTTTATAAGTCATTACATTCTTATATATAGTCTTTTAAAATTTATAAGACTTTTTTTATATCAAAATAATCTTTTAAAATCTCAATCCAATAAATATCTCATATTATAATCTAATAGATTTTGAAAAAGTAGCGAATAGATAACTAACTATCCATAAAGTTAAATGAATGGATTGGATTTGATCCATTATTTATTTTTATTGTAATGGATGGATTGGATGGATTTACTTGTGGATGGATTGGATGGATGATGGATGATGGATAAATGGATTCATTTGCCACTCCTAATAGGCAAAAACTAGTCCAAATTTTTATTATAATTGGAATAGCTATCACACTTTAAATAATTGAAAGTTTAAAGTACAGGCCCATTTCTTGTCCCAGATAATTTTCCAAGATTTGCTGCAAATAGTGGTTCAGTTGCCTGTATTTAGTGCCTAATAGACCTTTGTGGTTAATTATATTATATGCCCGATTTTTTAGGCTCTGCACTATCATAGTACATCATTGGTATAAACTATTTTTCTCTGGAATAATTGCTGTTGGAAGTTGTATTTGTAGTAGCATGATGTGATATGCCTTGTGGTGTAAGCTAACTTACCTTGCTTGAGCAATGGGCCCTGTGTAAGAACTGTTTTTTCACTGAAAGAATGCACACAGTAAAGCCTTTCTATGACTGCCTTTGCAAAGTAAAAAAGTCATTTTCATGAAACTAGTTTGATACGATATTATTCTATCTTTGGCATGATTTTTTTATGGATGTTACCTAAGTTTGTGTTTAATGTCTCATTCAACATGCAGCAACATTTCCTTTGGATCTTGTGAGGCGCAGGATGCAGTTAGAGGGTGTTGGCGGTCGAGCTCGTGTCTACAACACTGGCTTGTTTGGAGCATTTGGGCGCATTATTCAAACTGAAGGGGTACGAGGTTTGTACAGAGGAATTCTGCCAGAGTACTACAAGGTTGTTCCCAGTGTGGGCATTGTCTTTATGACTTACGAAACCTTGAAGATGCTTCTATCAGGCATTCCAAGTTATTAGCATACTCAATTGCTAAATTTGTGCCAATGCTCTTGGTTTAAGTTAATTGAAAAGTACAATGCTGGGGAAATTTGATCTCTTAGGAAGCTGGTATGCTAGAAAATATCATGGTTAACATTTTCTAGCTAGTTTTGTCGAGGTGAATTTTGCTGTTATTACCAGCAATTTTGTTCTGCATAGGTAGTTATAATTTGAGAGACAACATTTTACCAACTTCGAATATTAGGTTGATACCATTTTGTAGCTGATGATTTTATCAACGAAGCAGTATTTATGAGGTGAATTTTGCTGTTATTACCAGCATTTTTGTTCTGTATAGGTAGTTATAATTTGAGTGACAACATTTGTACCAACTTCGAATATGGTTGATACCATTTTGTACCTGATGATTTTATCAATAAAGTAGTTTTGTTTTAATGGAAAATTGCTATAACCTATTTTATTAGTTGATACTATTTTCTTATTTTATAATTTAACTTTCAGGTATAATTTCTTAGCTCATATACTGAAGGTGGCTAGCGTGCGAAGTTGTAGAAATGGTGTACGGTGGTCAACAATACTTTTATTTTGAATTGTGAGATCATATAATTTTACAGATATTGACGTTTTCCATATATTATCACCTCCCAAAACAAAATTTCAAGGTTGCCCATTACTCATGACGTTGCAAGTTACTCACTTTCCTTCAGTTCTTGAGAGTGATTAGCTAGCAAGACTAGAAAATGAAGCGGAACACCTTTTGAAAGAACGCAATTAAAGAAACGCTTTCAGCATTTTTGGGTATACATTTTAAAAAAACGCAATTGTAATTTCTCACTTTTCAAAGCAAAATTGAGAAATAATTAAGGTCTAACTTTAAGTTGAATAGACCGGTAGACGTAATGTCAAATCAAATACACGCTTTGTTGCAAAGGATGAGCAAGGTTCCATGGTTAGAGATGTTGTACTCTTCTTCAACTTGAGAAGCTTTTCTTAGACAGGCTGGTTGAGGTAGATGGCACACACGAATCTGGTTCATCGCTGCAACATTTGTAGGAATTGATTACGTGCATATTTACCTGCATTGTGCTATCATTTTGATTGTTTCCTTCTGGGTATGTGTTTTCTTCTGCTCCACCAAGTTGTAACTCTAGTGACGATTAAAACTTGAAAGGGAGCACAATATAACTGGACTATTTTTCATGGACATTGAAGGTGCATGAGTGCATCATCGGAAACAATTTCATCATTGTTCTTCTTCGTAGTCTCTATCTCAATTAAGTTTTATTTACTGAACCAATTTCTTAATTTAATATTTATTATTTAGTAATATTTTAATGAGGCAGCGACATCTCATTACAAGTCTCTGTATGGGATGAGGACAAAAGAGAACAGAGAGAGAAAAGGTAAAAGAAAAAATAAAAGAAAGAGAAAAAAAAATTGCTATACATAGTACACCGTAAAATCTTATCAACACCACAATTTAATGGGGCATATTAGTTGTCTACTCTAAATCACTTATGCATAACTCCAAAAGGAGTACTCATTTCTTATAAATCATAAATGTGGTTAAAGATATTTTAGTAAATATAGTATATATTTTTATATGAAATTATGGAAATTGAATGCATTCAACTATTTTTTTTAATTTGTGTGAAATTGTCTTTTTTCTTCTTCTTATATATAAATCTAAAGAGAGTACTTATTTCTTATAATTAGGAATAAAAAATGTACTTATTTTTTTTTTTATAAAAAAAATCGAAAGGAATATTTTTTAATGTATTTTACATATTTATTTTCTCCCTTTTCCATTCATTAAGACAAGTGAACTTCTTTCTTTGTTATTTCTATGTATCTAAATGACATAATTTTTTATTCTATTTCTCTTTTTTATAATATTATCCCTATTCATTCTTACTTTTTTTTTAATCATCCAAATAAAAAGCATGAGAAAAATTTGTTTGGAGAGTAAAAAAATATCACAAACATTGAGCTATTAAACTTGATACTTGATAGTCAAATATTGGCGGGCGACTTTCTTATTTTACCTATAAATATTGAGACTTTGTCTGGAACATGTAGTTTTGGGTGTATTTGGTAAAACTAGTCTATAAATCAATTGAAGACTTATAAGATATAAATTAATTAGTAAGTTAACTCTACTTAAAAAAAATAATAATTTAACTGATTAATGAAAAATTTATTTATTTTATATTGAGAGTGAAAAAATAATATGTATCCAAAATGGTTTTTAAATTAAAAAATAAAATAAAAAATATTTTAAGCAAAATAATGAAGATAAAAAGGAAGGAGGAAAAATAAAATTAAAAATTTATCAATTATAAGTAACTTCAATTAACTTATAAAAATAATCTTAAGTTTTTAAAATAAATTTTATATTAAACAAGCTTATTTTAGTCAAACTAACTTATAAATTGTTTAAGAAATATCTCGATAAACATAGCATTTGTACTTGATCTTGTCTAAAGAAAACTCAAATCTCAAAATCTTAAATTTAAATTTTATCTTTATAAGAGTAATTAATTTTTAATAATATTTTTTTTATTATTTTAAAAATAAAAAATAAAAATA